TCCCATAAAACGGTAATTTACACAAACACGAAAACTAAATCAGTAACTACTGAAGCTAATTGACTCAAAATCGATTATTTCAATGACCATTAAGCATAAAATTAGATTATTATAAATATTTTGATTGTGGGCGTGGCTCCACCCACTTATGACCAAAAATGTCTATCTCGGTAACCGATTTATCAATTTCTACCAAACTCGGTGCAATTCGTAGAAAATTATTCAAATCGGACTAAAATTGCACCGGCTTCCCGTATAACGGTAATTGTAGGATATACGAAAACTCCTAAATTTCAATAGCTGAGGACATTCATTTACTCCAAGTTAATACTTACAACAATCTTTTAACAATAAATAAGACTGTTATAGACTTTTAGGTAGTTTAAAGAAACTTGGAACGACGATAGTTGATACTTGCGCCGGGTATATAAAATCCGGCTTCGCATGAACTTACACTTCTTCACTTGTCTATGATTAAAATTTTTTAAGATTAGATTTTTTATTTTTTTGGTTTTTTCTTTTCTTTTATAGTTTTCATTTAATTTAAGTTGTATTTATTTTATTTATATTTAATTTCATAATTTTCTCTTAAATTTTTAAATGGCAAGCTACAATTTATATTTGTTAAATCTGAAAATCACACCCTGAGGCTCCACGACGGTTTGAACTCGCGATCAACGATGCTAGAGTCGGAGGTCTTTGGGCGGAGCTTTTCTCGTATTGTACGAGAAGTGAAAATTTGTGCATGTACATATTTCTCATCTTTCGCATGCTAAAGGGCAAAACCTTTTACGACAGCGCAGCTAGCACACCGCAGGTATCAACTGTCTCGCTCTGCAGCCGTTTTGCAGTAGTTCAGAGCGGTGTTGCCAGTGAAAAATTTCGTTTGGAGCTAAAACGGTCGAAAAAAAGAGCTAAAAAGAGCTAAATAATACTAATCGTAGCTAAAATGAAGAGCTATGTACATATTTTTGTTAAGGTTGAGCATTTATTGACGTAAGGTTGTTTTTACATTTTCGGCAATTTTAATAAAAACAACGAATTTTATAAGTTAAAGTGCTGAAAAAATCTTTTCAAACCAAAACAAGGTGCATTATTTCAAATTCGTTGCCACAGCACTTATAACAGTGAACTAAAAATACTTTACAAACTTTTAAAGTCTGTAATTTCAGATATTTGAATTGAATAATTTTATCGCAACATTTTTCTGGAAAGTTTTACTTGCAACTCTCCTTAAAGGTAAAATTAGTAAGGTAAAACAAAATCCGCGCTATCAGAAAAATGATTTTCTTTTAATTAATTTTTGAATTCTTTAACCTAAATCAAAGAGTTTATGGTGGATACACGGCATCTCGAAATTTTCCACATTATCAACGCTTAAGTTTTGGCTTATATACAGGGTGTCCCAGAAGTAACCTGCCAAACTTGTGGAGAAGGCAGGTGGGGTGGTGAGCTCCCTGATAAGCAAAAATTTTTCAGGTAAAAGTGTCACCGTTTTTGAAATATGTCAATTTATTTGAATTAAAGAAAAATCGTGCCTTTTCATGTATTTTCTTTAACTGCATCTACAAACAAGGCTTTACTTAGTAAATTTTTTACGTAAAATACTTTCAGATAGTTGCTTCTCCATACTCAAATGCAATGTAGTTNGTCAATTTATTTGAATTAAAGAAAAATCGTGCCTTTTCATGTATTTTCTTTAACTGCATCTACAAACAAGGCTTTACTTAGTAAATTTTTTACGTAAAATACTTTCAGATAGTTGCTTCTCCATACTCAAATGCAATGTAGTTAAAATATATTAAGGAACCATTATAAAATTAAGACTATATTGCGATTTTTAAATTTTTGATATTTTCTTTTCCAAATTTGACTATCTCTGGTGAAAAAAAAATGTACTGGGCTATAACTTTACATTACATAAAAAAATTTCTAATTTAATAAAGATTTCAGAAAGGTGCCACTCTTACTGTTTCGAATAGAAAAAAAAGGTATAGCCGCTTGTGTGGGTAAAGGACTGAGACACGCTAGAATGTATTAAATAGATTTAAATTTAAGTTGGTATTGTTACCGACCAATGACATGCTAAATAGTACAAAGGTACATTATTACTTGCTCCTGACATTATTTTGTTACTTACCGGAAATAATGAAAGTGGACTTTGTGAAATTGGATCCTTCGAACATTGTGTTATTAATACTATGACAGAGAACACACAGTATACGTCGCATGAATATACGGAAATTCACCTAATTTACGGTGAAGCTTGTTGTAATGCCAGAGCTGCTCAAAGTCTCTATGCAGAGCGATACCCAAATCGTCGGCATCCGGGTCGTGAAGTATTCCCCCGCTCCCATAGAGAAATATCTGAAGGTAAGTAACTTTTACACCTTTCTTGTTTGAAGCCATTCTTCTTTTAACTATCATTTTTAACTTTTTTTAGGTCACATACCTGGAAGGCGCCGCGGTAGATGTTGAAGTTGTGTTAGAGGAAATGGAACTAGGTCCATCGACTTCAGTGAGAATGATTGAAAGACGGACGGGAATACCAAAAACTACAGTTCACAAAGCTTTAAAAGACCATCGATTTCATCCCTACCACATTCAACGTGTTCAGGCTCTACAAGAAAGAGATTACCTGTCGAGGGTTAGATTTTGCCGTGAAATGTTGCGAATGCATGAATCAGACCCCAACTTTTGTAATAAAATAATTTGGAGCGATGAATCATCATGCAAACGTGATGGTTATTTTAATTTACATAACCTTCACAGTTGGCAGATAGACAATCCTCACGAAATGAGAGAAGATCGTTCGCAGTACCGGTACAAAATAAATTTATGGTGCGGTAATTTTAATTGTCAGATATTAGGACCTGTGGAACTGCCGCCAACGCCCAACTCTCTCAGTTATTTAGAGTTCCTTCAGGAACGGCTTTCAACTATTTTAGAAGATGTACCCTTAAACCTCCGGCGAAGACTATGGCTGCAAAATGACGGGTGCCCTGCTCACTACGAGCGCGAAGTAAGAGCTCATTTAGACGAAACTTATCCTCGCCGATGGATTGAACGATACGGGCCGATCACGTGGCCTGCTCGATCGCCAGACCTGAATCCATTCGATTTTTTCTACTGGGGCTGTCTTAAGGACAAAATTTATTCAAAAATAATTCAAAACGAAGAGCATTCGCAGGAACAAATAAATGGAGCTGCTGAGATAGCCCAATTGAGTTTAAGATCTCTAAAAGCCTCTTTTCTTAAAAGGTACCGAGCTTGTATTAGAGTAGAAGGTCGCCAATTTGAGCTTATTTTATCAATAAATGAATAAATTTTTCTGCTAACAACTCATGTATGTTTTATTTCACGTGAACCCATCCTTAACAAAAAATATTGATAGATATAGCCCTTATTATTGACTCTAGTCCGAATCCCGGTAAGTAACATAAAATAATGTCAGGAGCAGGTAATAATGTACCTTTGTACTATTTAGCATGTCATTTGACGGTAACAAGAGCAAATTCAATTTAAATCTATTAAATACNACTGAAATTTAAATCTATTAAATACATTCTAGCGTGTCTCAGTCTTTTACCCACAAAAGCGGCTATAACTTTTCTTTCTATTCGAAACAATAGGAGTGGCACCTTTCTGAAATCTTTATTAAATTAGGAATATTTTCATGTAATGTAAAGGTATAGCTCAGTACATTTTTTTCACCCGAGATAGTCAAAGTTGGGGAAGAAAATAGCAAAAAGTTAAAAATCCCAATATAGTCCTAATTTTATAATGGTTCCTTAATATATTTTTACTACATTGCATTTGAATATGGAGAAGCAACTGTCTGGAAGTATTTTACATAAAAAATTTACTAAGTATAGCCTTGTTTGTAGATGCAGCTAAGGAAAAAACATGATAAGGCACGTTTCTTTTAATTCAAAAAAATTTAAATATTTCAAAAACGATGACACTTTTACCTGAAAATTGTTTGCTTATCAGGGAGCTCACCCCCCCCCCCTACCTTCTCCTCAAGTTTGGCAGGTTACTTCTGGTACACCCTGTATACCAAATGCAACTAAACTTCCTGGAGCTAAAAAAGTGCTACATAAATTTGAAAAAGAGCTAGGAGCTAAAAACCGGGTTTCGGAGCTAAATAGAAAAATAAAGAGCTAAATCTAGCTCTAAAAGCACCAAAATGGAAACATTGGTTCAGAGACAGTTCCGAAATTTGTAGGAAGGAACTAGTACTTTGCCAGACTGTCTGTAAATTTTGCTGCAGATTATCTGCTCGACAGAGTAGATAATGCCAATGTTGACCAGTGAATTTAGTCATCAATTAATGGTTTTCCTGCAGGGCTCTTCGCCATACTCACTGCTGTTATTATGATGTGCCGAGGCACACACACACACCATCGAAGCCGTACCCTGCAGGGAATGCTACTAGTTGTGAGCTAGAATGCTACCAGTCTGCGTTTCAGCCCAACTAGTTCACATTCTATCCGTTTTCAATGTTAGCTACTGGTATTTTTAACATGGCGATGTCCTACGATACAGTTGTCTGCCTATGCATAACAGTCGCAATGCAGTCGAGTTAATGTATTTTTGTTTAAGTTTTTATTGTAATTTTTGAACTTGACTTTTTTTTTAATTTCATTAAATTAAAAAAGGAGCAAGGTTTCTTTATAAAGTTTTTTTTTTCAAGTGCAATTAGATTTTCATACTTGTAATTTCGTTTTATTCGTGACTTTAAGAAATTCAAAAGCAGATGTCGCTGATCGCATAAGTTGTTCAAAGTTGTCGCATTGGTATCCATCGCTTTAGCTCATACCAGTTAATAAACTGTTATTTTTCTAACTGGTTTGAGTTTTTACTACAGGGATACAAACGCACACACACACTTACACAAACCCACTTGTAAGCACGCATACACAAGGTTGCGCCGACTCAGTGGCTCCCTGGATGAATAATTGGTTGAATATACGAGGCATGCTTGCTTTTCCTTTTACCTGTTTTCTGACCAGTGTGTTACTGATTTAGTTTAATTGCTTAATTTTGTACAGATGCTGCGTGGACAGAGGGGCTGTTCTATCTCATTTTCACGCTTTGACTATACACATTCGAATTTGCGGCGAGCTTCAATGTAAGATAAAGTCAACAATTAAGTTCGAACTAACTATAATCGTAAATAAAGAGGTGCATATATATACTTTATACATAGCTTGTATAAGTGTATGTGAAAAGTAAGTGTGTACATTCATATAGATATATGTATGTTTATCGGAATGGTGTGGTAACGTACTTGCAACAGGTAATAATGAGTACGTACGCACATTCACACAAATAAGAAAATTAAAAAAATGTACACTTTCAGCATTTACGGACCGCTTAATGATTATCTTTCAACAACTTCATTTAAAACATCGTAATTACAAATATGAACCCCTTGCTACCTTTTCCGAAAGTTTTTAGTCTCTGTGCAGAATGTCTCTGTAACCACCGTAATTTTCTCAACTCTCCAAGGCAATAACAATGCTCTCTGATTTTAAGCTTTGTCATTATTTCTCTACTTAGATTCTTCAATGCGCCCAGACTTTTTATCGTTTAATATACATTCATATGTATGTATATTCAATAATATTATCTGTACTCAGGCCCTCTTGAGTCAATGTTCATATTAATCTCTCTCTTTCAAGCGAAAACGGTGGGCAAACGAAAAGTGGATGTTCAGCACTTTCCGGCACATTATCACATGTATCATATGCCATCGAGTCATCATCACCATAATAGTGCAGGTACGGTCGAAAGCAGCCGTGGCCACTAAGTAATTGAGTCATATAAAAATCAACTTCCCCATGCGCGCAGAAGAAGACGCGGCTGAGCGTTGCTGCCATTGTGAGAGACTTGTTTGGCGTTCGGCCACGATGTCGATGTTTTAGAGGGCTCTGCCTTTTGTTCGGGTCGTCATATTTCGTTACGCTGCATAATGCGAAGCTGTCCGGAACAGTGTTGCCGCGCCGTCTCAAGAAAATGTATCCCTGACCAAGCCAAAAGTGTATCCAAATGTATCCAATTTTCTTTTTTTATATATACATCTCATAACTTGTAAGAAAACCAAACATTTTCATGAAAAAGACATAATTTAACCCATGCTAAGGACTTGGAATACATGTGCATAAAATCAAGCTTGTAATTTCAATTTATAAAGTACATTTTTTGTGCATAAGTATTTTGCAAAGTAAATATAATAAATAGCAAGTACACTCTAAAAAGAGCAGGTAAAACTACTACTGAAAAGTATCTATTTTTCAACAAGGATCTGTATAAATATACGTATAGGATGTTCAGTATTTGATTTTGAACTTGAGATCTTTAAAATATATACATAAATACACATATGTAGAATGTTTAAAATTGCAAAAATTTTCAAACTACAAATACATTTCCTACTAATAATAAACATTACTTTATTTTAAAGATTTTATGTGTAAAAGTAAACAGGCAATGATTAATTTTATGACACGGCTTGCAAATTTGCATACATCAAAGAGGAAACTGGTTACCTCTCTCAATATGCGCAAATAAACAAAATTTTTAGAGTGTATTTAAAGTCTTTTCAGTAAAATTCATAAAAGTTTCCTTAAATAAATCAAATTTAGTTTTTTAAACTACATTGAAATCTTCTTTCTTTTTAAATTAACAAATGAAAATATGTGATATGAAAGAGATTACTACAGAAAGAGTATAATTTACTTTACATATATCGTCGTTTAAAGTACAAAACCGCGTATCTTCATTCTGCAAAACCGCGTAACTGACATTTGCTGCCAAAAATTGGATTTGCTCACACAAGCTCTTGGCTTCGTCCTGAAATATACTAGCCAGAAATGCGATTGCTTTATAAAAAAGAGAACCATTTTGAAATATAAGTGTTTTTACTCTCTAGAAAATAATTTATGCAACGTCACATACGCGGTTTTGCATTATGTTGATACGCGGTTTTGTACTTTAAACGACGATATGTATGTATATTAAGATCTTGCTTAAAGCATCCTTTTAAGCTAATTAAAGCAACTGCGCTTATACCTATTTTGGTGAGATCTCTTCATATGTTTTCATATGCTTCATATGCTTTCTACCATCTTTAATGAAAATCGATTTTTGAACGAAAAAAACTTTATAGGAAATATAAAATTTTGGCCTATTTAAAAAGTATCCACTTTTATACTGACCGGAAAAAATAAGTATCCCGCAAAAATTCGTCTAAAAATGTATCCAATTGGATCTATTTAGATCCAAACGGCATCCCTGGTCCGGAAAGCGCTGCATACGCGGAGAGCGCTAAGACAAAAGACAGGGCTTACAAGCTTAGCATAGGACTTTTGCTTACGGGGGCCGCGTATATTATAATTGATTCAGTAACTTTTGTTGACCTAGGGATGAAACGATTAAATTTAATTTTTTTAAGTAGTAAATTAACCATCCTCGGCGAATCCTAAACTCCGAATAATAAAAGTTAATAATATACGTACTGAAAATAAATAAAACAACATAACATATCAAAACTATAAGTTTAATGATGAATGGTATTTTACAGAGATAATACCTTGAAAAAGTTTACAAGAAGTTAATCTCGTTTAACCTTAGAACCGTGAGTTGGGTACTCAGTGCCCATATTCATGTTTGATGTTGAATTTCGGGGGTTCGGGAAGTGCATTTTGATTTGACTTGAGTGACTTAAAAGCTTTAATTTCCGTACGAAATTTCTGGGCTGGGCTAAGTTGAACATTTTAGTTTTTTCTAAGATAACTATTTTTTTGTCATCCATGCTTTTCACCTTACTCTTATCTCCTTTGCATCTTTTTCCAATAACAGAGCTAGTCTCCACCACCTTTAATATTGTCCGATAATATTTTCAGAGCGAAGAACAATAAACTTACTCTGTACTTTGGGCCGTGTATACGCCGCACAGTGTTCTATTTTTGAAAAAAAGAGGCAAAATCAAACGAGAAGAGATAGCCAAATAAATGTAACTGTGTTTTAAAGCTTTTGAGGTAGGGAATTCAGGAAAAAAAGTCTGGTATGGTAGAATAATTACCTTGACCTTTAACATGTCTTTCAAAAATAGATGGTTGAAACTTTTTCCTTTTTTTTGGCCTGAAACCAGTACGCAATGAAGTTCTTAAAAATTTTTAAATCCATATTTTTGCTGTTCGTACATCAAGGAATCCATTTCCTTTGTCGCAAGAATCTAATAAGCATTTCAAGCTGCTTTAAAATAAGTTAATAGTAAATAAGTAATAGCGACCATAGTAATGGATTCTCTGATGCAAGAACAGCAAAAATATCTGTTAAAAAGTTCATTTCATACTGGTTTCAGGGAAAAAATTAACATCTTCAATATTTAAAGGTCGCTGGCATTTAAACAGCCATAAAACACTTGGCGATTTATATTAGTGGAGGAAAAAATTCTGAAAGAAAATTCGCCATGGTACTCAGTACTTGGTTCAAAAGTATCGATACCAAAATTACTTGGTATCGAACGAAAAGTATTGGGTATGTACTTGTATTTACTCGTATCGTTTCATCACTACTTGAACCGCCTACTTTTGTTATCATTCTAGCTAACGCGCCTTGAATTTTTCCCGCTTTTTTATTTACCGACTCAATGTGAATTTTTAAATTAAACTATTTTTATTGATCTTGGGCCGTTTTATAGAAAAATTGTTGTGGAAGGAAAACTTTATAAATGGTAGAAGTTATAGCTGCTATTTCGGGGATAACCACATCTCCTCATCAGACTTCTTCACTGGGATTCGACACAGCGACCCCAGTTTACACAGCCAGTGGTCTACGCGCTGCGTTAAGTTCGCCTTATAAACGGTTGTTGCTTTTTTCACTTTTTTCATATGCCAATCCAAGATTGATAGATTTCAAGATTGTGCACATGAGAGAGGATTTTTGAGCGTAATTTTTGCTTATCATCATCTTGGTGCAATTGGGAGAGAGAAATGCCAAAACGCATAGGAAAATATGTAAACAATGCGGAATAATGTGTTAATATCAATATTAAATGGTCCAATTTTGCAGGAATTAATAAATATACAAAATTTAATTAAATAGGAACACGTAGCAATGATTTTGGCCATGTAGCCCTTTAGGTAAGCACGATTTTCAGCACATGCCGGATGTTGGAAAAATACATATAGTTATATATACATGTGTAGATATGCACAGAAAAAAACGTACTTATATCGCACGCTTGCCTTTTGTTTTCACTCTTACGATTTGCCACTGCAGACTTCATTTTGCCTTGTAATGTTTCAATAATTGTGTNGTCAATCATGGTTAGCATGTTAGTGCATTTAAATTTGTAGATTCTTGTAAATTCAGAAATTTTAGTTCAGAAAAAAGCACTAAAAAGGGCACTAGGCACTAAACCATTTTTTTGGCGTTTTAATTTTCAAAAAGCACTTAATCNGTTAAATTGGAAATGTTGAGTTATTTTCCCAATGTTTTTGGGTTAGTGGGCGGAGGGGAGGTGGCGTGGGTCTTGATATCTAACCCGCTAGAAAGAGCACAGTTCACTTTTTGTAAAAAGTCACACTTGATCCCTCGGAACCATCTATAATTAGCATTTTGACACCGCAAACGTAAACTCGATAAACAGTCTTTTTGTGCAGAACACCTTTCTATTGCCAAAGGTATTCAACATTTATTGGGCATATAACTCCGGCTACGCCATCCTCAGTATGTTTGCGTAGAATTCACTCCGAAATTCACAAAAAAAGTGCATTTTTCATAATGATAAATTAGTGAGAGCAAATTACAAAGTGCCCTTTTACAATAAAGTGTAGACCCTTGACTACAAGTGTGTGTAAAATGTTTTGGATTGGGTCACCCATTCGGACACAATATCCCGAAATCATTGGGCAAATAACTAAACCGTACCCAGTTAAATCGTTATTTCGTTTTCCTCAATCAACAATTGCACCAAGATGACGTCACGCACACAGGTGATTCTAACAAATTCACAAAGAGTGGATGTGCGGTACCGCGATGGGCGCAATATCTATTTATCTCAATCGTGATGCCAACCCAATCACAATCAAGGGCTGCTATTTAGACTTGATCCGTGGTTATTTTGGTTTTTGTTTTTTTTTTTTTAGTTAGTTTCTGTTTTTAGAAATTTAAGTTAAAGGCGTGCTGGTCCTTAAATATTTGGCT